CTTTTTTTTTTTTCGTGGGGAAATCCTCATGGATACCTCCGGCTGCGGGGGCAACCGGAAGGTTATGCCGGACTCCTACCGGCTAAAACCCCACGGTGGTCTCCATCAGCGTATACGAGGGGTCCCGGGATCTCCGTTCGGAACACAACCGGGACCCCTCTCTCTTTTCGCTTTATTGGAAGCACGTCCCAGAGGCAGAACTTACTACCCCAGCACCCTCGCAGTGCTATCACGATGTTTCGGGACCACTTCCGAGCCATCGTCCTCCTCGGGGGTTACGTTACTAGGCATTCGAGGCCCCCGCTCCAAACGCCTGCAACCCCAGAGGCCCCGTTTCTGGTAGGGGAACACCATCTTCAGAGGGAGGGCCGTGACGAACGCCTTGATGACGTCGTCTCCGAGTGGGATCTGTCCTCCTCCGATCCCGCTCAGCAGCCTCCTTCTGGACCATTACGGACTCACAGAAGTTGGCTACAGCCCTCCACGCCGAGTCCCCGCTCAACATCGCCGACACGACTGCTGGCAGGGAGAGGTCCCGACCGACCCGGTTTGCCAGAATCATTCGCTCCCGTTCCCACTCTGCACATACCGCCAGCGTATGGGACGCGGAGTCCTGATCCTGTCCACCGCAGTGGAAGCAGTTCGAGGAACGCCACTACCTAATCTATCCTGCTTATGGTTGCCAGATTAATTAGGAATTTATCCTGGATGTTTTTATGTATAAAGATTTAAAAATAGTTGTCGCAGAGGTTTTTTAAAAATAGTGTCGCAATTACATAATTTATGGGGAAATTATGTAGTTAAAATAGTAGAAACATTAATAGGTTGTTTGGAGATCATCAATGTCCTCATTATAAGGCTATAAGTGTGTTTTAAGTCTAAAAATTTTAAATTTCAGGTACGACAAATTTCTAAAACTAGCCTGTAATCATACATTATACTACATACATTGTACAACACAAACTTTGAATCTGAGAGGGTGTTCGGGCAAGGAAATGTTTACCGCGCTGCCCCAATGCGTGTTGGCGACCTTCACATGCCTTCGAAATATTTTTTTTCTCGCCCAACACGTGGTAAATCAGCACTTAATTTGCAATTAACAATTTCATTGGTGCCAGTTGGTATCGAACCCGGGTTGCTCGCGTACTGTGAAATTTACAGCGAGCGCTAACCATCTGAGCTACTACGGCTCATCACATGCATGCAATTTATTATTGCACTTATACAGTTTTAAATGATCATAATCATCATCATTATTTTTTTTTATAGGATAAGGGTGACAAACGAGCACACAGTCCACCTGATGGTAAGTGGTTGCTGTGGCCCATAGACATCTACATCTATCTTCGATTAAGAATCAAAATGCAGATGCATTGTCACCCGCGAGGACTAAGATGGAATGCCTCGTTTCCAGTAAAAAGGGCCTCCGGTTCTCTACACTCACCATACGAAACACAGCAGCCTTAAGCTGGTATTTTGTGAGAGCGTGGTCCTTCCCCGGTCGAGCCGATCCATTCGTGCTACAATAATATAGCTGCAACATGGCTCTACCACGTAAAAAAACATCATCATTACAGCCTTTCATAAGTCCACTGCTGAGCATAGGCCTCACCCAAGGAATGCCACAAAGCACGGTCCTAAGCCACCTGCATCCATCGACTTCCTGCATGTCTTACCAAGTTTTCACTCCATCTCGTGGGGGGTCGCCCTACACTTTGCCTACCGGTACTCGAGAACCTTTCTTCCCCATCGATTGTCGGTTCTTCGAGCTATATGGCCGGCCTACTGCCACTTCAGCTTACTAATCCGTTGGGCTTTGTCGGTTACTCTGGTTCTACTGCGGATATCTTCATTTCTAAGTTTATCACGCATAGAAACCCCGAGCATAGCTCTCTCCATAGCTCGCTAAGCGACCTTGAGCTTCCTCATGCGGCCAGCAGTGAAGGATTACGTCTCAGATCCATAAGTCATCACTGGCTACACGGACTGGTTGTACAATTTCGTTTTAAGGTTTTGAGGTATGTCTAACGAGAAGATGTGTCGTAGTTTCCCGAACGCTGCCCAGCCGAGTTGAATCCGTCGATTGACCTCTCGGTCGAAGTTGGACTTACCTAGTCGGACTATTTGTCCCAGGCAAACATACTCGTCAACAACCTCGAGCTTAGTGCTCCCAACAACTACCGGCAAAGTTGTGACATGGACGTTAAACATGATTTTTGTTTTGTCCATGTTCATCTTAAGACCTATCCGTTGGGAGACACTATTGAGGTCATTGAGCATAATGCTTAGGTCCTCCAGCGATTCTGCCATAACGACTATATCGTCGGCAAATCGAAGGTGAGTGATGTACTCGCCATTGATGTTAATACCTCATCCTTTCCAGTCCAGCAGCTTGAAAACGTCTTCCAATGCAGCGGTGAAGAGTTTCGGAGATATAACGTCACCCTGTCTTACACCTCTCTGCAGTTGGATAGGTTTTGTACTCTTATTCTGTACTAGGATAGCCATCGTAGCTCTACTGTTTGTACAGTACACTTCAGCACTTCGATATACCGACAGTCAACTTGGCACCGCTGAAAGGACTGCAGCACCGCCCAAATTTCGACGGAATCAAAGGCTTTCTCATAGTCCACATACGCAAGGCAAAGTGGCAGATTATACTCCTCTGCCTTCTGCACAATTTGCGGAAGGGTGTGTATGTGGTCCATGGTACTAAAGCCTTTTCTGAAACCGTCTTGTTCGGGAGGCTGGAAGTCGTCAAGTCTGCATGCGAGACGATTCGTAACGACTCTCGAAAACAGCACGTAGACGCGGCTCAGAAGGGAAATCGGTCTGTAGTTTTTCAAGAGAGCGTTGTTGCCTTTCTTGAAGAACAAGACCACCGCACTTCTGCTCCACGCCTCCGGAGTAGTGCCACCATGGAGGACGGAATTAAAGAGCTTCTGAAGGACTTCAAGTACCGGTTTTCCACCCGCTTTCAAAATCTCCGCTGTAATTCCATCCTCGCCCGGGGACTGGCCGTTTTTAAGGTGCTGGAGAGCCATTCTAATCTCGCTCAGACTGACGTCCGGGATATCTTCGGAATAGTGTCGGATAAGACTCGCTTTTGGATCGTTACTCACATTTGCGTGTGGATCCAACGATGACGTGTACAGCTGCCAATAGAACCTCCCAATCTCACTCAAAATCTCAGGTGTCCCAGAAACGATGCTGCCACATTCGGTCTTTAGCTTTGACAGTTGACTCTTTCTGGCAGACAGATCTCTGGCAAAGACTTTGGAGCCTTGGTTCCGCTAGATCGCTTCTTCAATACAAGCTGTATTGAAGTTGCGTAAGTCCCGCCGCATGCATTTGGAGATCTGTATGTTCAGTTGCTTGTATGCTGTCAAATCTGTTGAAAAATGTAGCTTCATCCCCCGTCTAACAGCCATGAGATGAGTGTGATCGGAGAGTTTTTGTGTTCTTCTGCGGCGGGTTTTGCAGAATTTGGCTCCGACCGCATGGCCAGTTTCCACGAGCTTGTCATTCATATCGTCCACTTCATTGCAGTCTTCTAGGCACTGAAAACGGTTTTGTAACTCGAGCTGAACGGTTTCGGGACTTTGGAATAGAGCCGAGGGGGACGGAGCGTTGACTTCATTAGACAAGACCTCTCCAACTTATTGTTTATGTTCAGTGTGCCTCTAACCATTCGGTGATCGCTACCAGTTTTCACCCTCGCGATCACGGAGATATCACTGAACAGTTGTCGTCTGGTCGTCATAATAAAGTCAATTTTACTTTTTGTCGAACCGTCGGGGCTCGACCAGATCCACTTCCTGTGGGGCCGCTTCTGAAAGAAAGAGTTCACCACCAACCCAAGGTTCCGTTGACCTTTTCCAAATTTCCCTACTTTCAGCTCACTGTTCTCTCTTGTGCCTAGTTTTGCATTGAAGTCTCCCATTAACACCGTACAGTGGGTTTTGTAGGAATAAATGGCTCTAGAAATATCCTCATACATTTTCTCCACCTCCTCATCGGGGTGTGCCGAGGTTGGTGCGTAAACCTGTATGACCTTCAGCGAATACCGTTTGGTGATTCTGAGTATAAGGTACACATCCCTCGTCGACACACTCAATGTTTACAACGTTGTTAACGAGAGACTTGTGGACGATAAATCCGACACCTCCTTGGGACAGATGGTCGCCCTCCCGGTGATAGAGCAAGTTGCCGGATTCGAGGATTACCGTGTCCTCCCCCTCTCTTCGGACCTCGGATAATCCTATAATATGCCAGCGTAACTTGTCTATCTCTTCTTCCAGCTCCACGATCTTCTCGTCAGTCCTCAGGGTGCGTGCGTTGTATGTTGCCAGGTCGAGTCGTCTTAGGTGGCAACCGAACCTCCACCGGAGATTCTTAGCACCCCCTGCCCCACCGTTACCATGTTCGCCACCGTAGCCAGGAATAGCGGGGCCGCCGGGGACTGGGGGCCGTCTCTTTGTTACTCTCACCATAAGGGGGTATTTGCTTGGCACGCTTGGCGACCGGGTTGGCAACCGCATTTTTTTTATTGTAATTTTGCTGTTATCGGGAAGATGCTGCTGCCTATCTCCTGCCTGTTTTCCTTTGTCGCCTTTTACGACACCCCCGGTAAGATATGGGGTAGTGGATATTCTTAACCGCCAGTCCACCGCGGTTTTAAATGATATTTTAAATTAATTTTTACTTCCATCCAAATACTGTACTACCCTTTAATTTTTTAACGGCTGTCAAGTGCAGCTAGAGCAGTGGTCATTACAGACTCCAATATAATAATAAACAAGATATATTACATGGTTTCTGCATGTCATAAAGTTTGATTGTGTCAGCAAACAAGCACATTACTGCACCGGGAGAACTGTCCATATAGCTAGACTATAAATAAATTGCTGTCAGAATGATCTAAAAGTAAATGAAGATATTGCGAAAATCAGTTTCACATAACATTAATCCATATTTATTAAAAAAATAATTTATTTCAGCATCAACAATAGAACAAACCTTTAATGAAGAAGAGAAAAGTCTGAACTGTAATTCAGAAAATTATATTAATTTTACATCTGTTCCAAATGTACATCGGGAATCTTTTGACGGGGATATAATGTTAAGATTTGGAGAAAAAAGAAAAATAAACGATAAAGTACCTGTTGTGGGTGAATCAAGCACTGTGGCACTTCATAAAAATAAGATAATATTGGGATCAAAGCCTAGTAGCAAACCCATACAAAAGAATTTAGAGTGTAAAAGTGATCCCAAATTAAATACTGCAACAGTTGTTTTGAAAAATCTTAGACCTTTTTTAGATAATTGTAATAAGTACTGTGAAATTTGTTTTATTCTTTTTCCAAACAGTAAAAATTTGGATAATCACAAGAAATGTTTACATTGTAGCTTAAGTACGGAAAAGAAACATATTGATGTACCTAAAATTGATCTGGAAAAACAATCTGAAAATATATGTGTGAATAAACCCAAATGTAATATATGTCATAAAACTTTTGCATCACATTCAAGTCTAAGCAAACACAGAAGAAATATTCATTTCATTCGTGTTAAAATACGAAAAGTTAATAAAACGAGAAATGTGGCAGTAAAAATTGCTAGTGGTTATAACAAAGAAAAAATATCCTTGACTTCCAATAATTCTTGTTTTCATTGTAATAGATTATTTCCAAATATGCAATCCCTTATTGAGCATTTATATGACACGCTTGAAACAAAGAAGGACAAAAAACATTCAAAAACCAAAAAGAACTTAGGCATGCATAAATCTCATGTAAAGGATAGTTTTTCCAATTCAAAACTTCATCAACAGAAATTTGAAGCTGAGAAGGCTAGTAGAAAGAAAAGCTCTAATAATAAATTTAATAGTTATGTTTACAGATGTCCATTGTGTTCATATTATTTTAATAATGTTAAATTTAGTTTAACACATTTACTAAAAAAACATAAATTTACGAAAAAGACTCCATTGAAAAAAGTTTTATATGATCCTAAATGCAAATTTTGTTCATCTGAATTTGGGAGTGTTTCGTCTTACAATAGGCATTTACATAAAGTACATAAAAATCTACTGTCGTGTGTATTCAAAACCAAATCTTCAAATAAACCTTCAGAAGCAAATGGTGTAAACAAAATAGATGCAATGAAAAATAACATATCATCTTCTAAAGATGACCCAATATTGCAAGAAATTCCTAACGTAAGCCAAACTTCCATTATGAGCGCAAACGATTCTGCCTTAGGTGGAATTTTAAAATCTGCCTTGTTTAGGTGTAATAGATGTGATATTCATTTTCTAAAATCAGGAATTGCGGTTGATCATTCCAGTCATATGGAATTTTTGATCAATTGGAAATGTACAGTGTGTAACAGGATTTTCAAGAAAAATGATGAATTATTTCATAGACAACAACATTTGGTCACAAATAATTTTACTGTATATGGCTTATGTGAGTCTACACAATCTTTAATTTTATACAAATGCCTAAAGTGCACTGTGCACTTTGATGAAAATATGTTTATTCAACATTTTCCAAATTGTGACACTGTTGCTCTTAATCACATACAGTGTAAATTTTGTGATATTTTAATTGACTGTAATCTTAAAAGTGTACATGAAAATGAACATAGAACCAAAGCTATAAATTATAAGGATTTTACTGTTGTTCGAACAGAAGTCATACAAAGTAATACAATTGATGAAAATCTATATAATAAGAAAAAAAGGGAATTAAAATCAAGAGTGACAGTGGATTCTAATTCTTATGAATCACATTTAAAAAATAATAATTTGACCTGCCTTTTTACGGTATACTACTGTAATACTTGTAAATGTTTTGTCAATGATACTACAAAACTAATACATAAAAAATCACATTGCACTCATGTTGCACCAGCAACTTGTAAACTTTGTGGACTTATAATAACACAGACAAGTATTTCTTCACATGGAAGGCTACATCAAAGAAAAAAGAATTTAACTTTACAGGATTTTAAGTTTTATGACCTGAAGAGTAGAAAGCGTATAGCTCCTCCGATACCCGAATTTCCACATTGCAGTATTTGTGGAATATATTTTGCTAATCAAATAGCGAAAATAAGACATGAATGTGGTGTTGATGATTATGTTACATGCTCTGATTGTGAGATGAACTTTTCTGAGTTAGGTTACAAATTGCACATGAATTATCATAATTACAGATTACAATATAATAATATTAATTCAAAACATCTATCACAATCCAAGAGTGGGTCTAAAACTGAAGCTAAAAATATTGGTGAGATAAAATCAAATTTAACTTCAAAAATGCCGGGTTCCGATCTAGAAGAAAGTGAGAGGTTTATTATTTATACTTGTAAAAACTGCCATATTTGTGTAGATGCCTACGATTTGGTAGTAGAACATTGTCAAAGGCACTACAATCCTTTAAGAATACAGTCGCCTACGAAAATATGTAAAATCTGTGATCTAATATTTGATGTTGGATGTTATGAAGACCACGAAAAGCTGCATCTATGTAACTTTAACAAAAAAGATTTTAAAATTATTAAATTTGACATATTTAATTTTACTACCGATTATGATGCGTGGATAAAAAGAGTATTTGATTCTTTACCCCAGGCACAGATGCAAAAAATTATTAACAAGTCAATATACAAATATGAGAATAAAATAAAAATGAAAGTTATTCAAGAAGCTTCTCCGGAATTAACGGTTTATAAGTGTGATAAGTGCCATTGTTTCATTGATCCATACTCTTTGTACAAACATCTCGGAAATAATTGCTTATCTCTACGAAAACATACTTGTAGAATTTGTGGGATACCTTTTATTTCAGCTACATCTAAAGTGCAACATGAAGCTATACATAAACGACCATTCAAGGGGTTAAAATCTTATAGAATAGTACTCTTTAACAGAGACGAGGACAAAATATTTAATGATGCTCTTCGTTCAGGAAATTGGTTTACTATATACACATGTAGAAACTGTGAAGGTGTTGTGGGCCAAACTGAATATAAACATCACGTATGTAATAAAAACGACTTAAGAAAATGCTCTTACTGCGGATTACTACTATATAGTAAAGATTATAATGCGCACATTTCTAAACATAAAGAATTCGAAAGCTTTAACTCAAAGAATATAAAAGTAATTTTGATTGGCAAGAAAATTGAAAACGAAGACTACAAAAACATAAAAGATGATAATTTAGTGTCATCGTTTAATGGAAAAGTGTATGATTATTCACTTTTTAAATGCACAAAGTGCCAAATATGCACGAGGAACGCCCGGGATACTCTAAAGCATGATTGTTCTTTTGAAATTCCTAAATCAAAATGTTCTTACTGTGGGTTTTATTTCGAAGCTAGAAAATTAAAGCATCATTATATATTACACGAAACAGATTGTAATTTTATACCTGACAATATAACAATAAACGATTTTGATAATACTAAATCTCAGAAAGAAACTTTTGATTTGGCAAAAACATCTAAATTAAGTAAGACTGATAAAGACAAAATAACTGATAATCTAAGTAAACCAGTTAAGGTTTTACCTTCTACACCCAGTAATTTACACATCAAAAATAAATTTACAGACTCATCAATAATAGAAAAAACGGAAAAATTGTACAAATGCTCCTGTGGTCTTCATTTCCTAGATAATTCTGTTACGGCACATCTTAATGTATGTGGTGCAAAAAATAGAATTTCACGACAACAATGCTCAAAATGTGGTCTTACATTTAGTCCTAATGTATTGTTTACTCATATGCTTGCGCATCACGGAAATAAGGCTGTTGTCTATAAGTTTGATATAATTGAGGTATCGAAAGACGAAGATACACCGTAAGTAGTAAGAGTATAGAAGTATTTCTAAAGGACATACTATTTGAGTAGATATTTACTTCAAGCATACATCTATACATTTCCATTCAGAACTATTTTAGTTCACAATTATTTATACCCTGTACAACAACGTGATGGGAAACAGAAAATATCTAGTATTGCAAAAATAACGTTTTTATATAGGTACTTTTAAATAACTGTGATGAGATGGTGTGACTGTATGTATGTTTTAAACTATTCAAAATAAATTAATTCATTCACAATAAACTTTATTGCACTATACATATAAAAACATTGGGTAGGTGAGCGACGATGGGTTATATTATTCATATAATATTGAGTTAAAATCAAGGTTGAAAAATAAAATAAAATTTTCTCTTTCAAACAAAATTTCTAACCGGGAAGAGAAGCACAACCAAGATTTTCATCGTCGGAGTCGTCATCCGTAAAATGATTTTAATTAAGGCTTCTTTGTAACCGATATTTGTAACAGTTACTGCCTGTTATTTGTGTCCCATCCGACCGACCGATGTAACATTGCACGAGCATCCATTGTTTTCAGTTTTTCTATTTAAATCTTTCTTTGAAGCAATAAAACTCTAAGATTTTCGGAAAATGCTTGAATCTATAATACTTTTGTGATGTATCAATTTTTAAAATTTTTATAAATTTTCAAAATTATTAAAATAAGAAAATATTATGTTCGTCATTGCAAAGTTATGTCGATCGCAAATTTGTCAAAAATCTGTCAAAAAGATCAAGCTATGTTGTACAGAGTATAGTAGTAAGTAGTAGATAGCTAGTACTTTCAGGACAATTTCTATTTTGTAAATGTTAAGTGTTTAGCAATAAGTAATATCAAAAATTAAATAAAGTATTTTTTTCAATAATATTTTATTATCACTCTGTTTAACTATTTGTGAAACTTTAAAATTTTAATCTTTCTATATAATTTAAAAATTACAAATGAAAAATATATCTTATCGATATTTCTAAATAGTATTGATATATATATATATTGTGTGACAAATATCGATATATCGTCAAGTTTTGTATGATGAACTAGGATAAAGCCCAAATTTTATTACTGGCAGTTGAATGACGAAAAAAAAAACGACATCAGCACATAAATGTTTTTGTAGCTGTGTTTGTTGCTTAATCTTTTGTCGATTAATACAACATCCTATTAATATTATAAACGTGAAAGTTTGTGAGGATGTATGGATGTTTGTTACTCTTCTTCGTAAAAACCTCTGAATGTATTTTAAGGAAACTACAATAATATAGTGAGTAAAAAGTGGCACCACAAAAAGTATCACTAAAATCATAACAATAACTCGAGATAATTTGAAATGCCGTGTAGTGGCGGTTAAGAATATCCACTACCCCATATCTTACCGTGGGTGTCATAAAAGGCGACAAAGGCAAACAGGCAGGAGATGGGCAGCAGCATCTTCCTGATAACAGCAAAAGTACAATAAAAAGAACGGGTTGCCAACCCGCTCGCCAAGCGTGGCAATTATGGCAAATACACCCTAATGATTAGAGCTACAAAGAGACGGCCCCCAGTCCCCGGCGGCCCCGCTATTCCTGGCTACGGTGGCGACAATGGTAACGGCGGGGCAGGGGGTGCTAAGAATCTCCGGTGGAGGTTTGATTGCCACCTAAAACGACTCGACCTGGCAACATACAACGCTGGCATATTATATGATTACCCGAGATCCGAAGAGAGGGGGAGGACACGGTAATCCTCGAATCCGGCAACTTGTTCTATCACCGGGACGGCGACCATATGTCCCAAGGAGGTGTCGGATTTATCGTCTACAAGTCTCTCATTAACAACATTGTAAAAATTGAGAGTGTGTCGACAAGGGTTACGTACATAATCGACCACATTATCTACTATGTGAGTTCTGTAATGCCCAACGCATGCAACTTGCAAGGCCATTTGACGGGAATCGCGATGCTTGGTTCGTATAGGTAGATAGCGTAAATAACAAATAAACCCGAAATACGATTCCTAACAGAAATATGATCGTAATCTACTTAGATGAAAATCTTGTAAACAAAGTTTTAATTTCAGTATTTTGTGCTATTATAACTTAAAATATTTTAATTACAAAGACGAGTATAGGTATGTAAGTAGGGTACTAACTTGGGTAGTGAAGTAAATTTCAACTAAGTTTTGTAATAAAGTACTTAGGTATTACTTCTGTATAGTCAAATTATTACTTAATTATTTTTTCGCTATAAGTACCTATCTAACAAAAAATGAAATAAATTTACCTTTAATTATACTTCGGTAACTCAAAGAACAATATATCTGAATCCTTTTAATTGCTCATCCCCGCAACAATTATAGTAGGAACGACATTTTGCCATTATAATTTATCAAATAGATAGGTAATATACATACATACATATATATATATATATATATATATATATATATATATATGTATGTATATTACCTATTATATTATTCTTAAATTACATTAAAACTTTTTCAACTATTTTATCCTACAATTAAATATACTTACTAAACACTACAAAAACAAAAGCTATTTAAACAAGTATTTACAAAAAAATATTTGCGTAAAAAGCGTTAAAAAACTAACATTTAATCGCCTAGAGCGCGCTAGCCCCGACTGCGATCTACCCCTGGGGCAGCTCGCGATTCTAGGTAATTATTTCACGCAGGTAGGAAGAGTGACAGAGGCCTGCTTATACTCAGAATCACCAAACGGGATTCGCTGAAGGTCATACAGGTTTACGCACCAACCTCGGCACATCCCGATGAGGAGGTGGAGGAAATGTATGAGGATATTTCTAGAGCCATGCATTTCTCCAAAACCCGCTATACGGTGTTAATGGGAGACTTCAATGCAAAACTAGGCACAAGAGAGAACGGTGAGCTGAAAGTAGGGAAATTTGGAATAGGGCAAAGGAACCCAAGGGGCCAGGAGCTGGCCGACTTCACGGAGAAAGAGGGACTCTTTATGATGAACTCTTTCTTCCAGAAGCGGCCCCACAGGAAGTGAACCTGGTCGTGCCCCGACGGTTTGACAAAAAATGAGATTGACTTCGTTATGACGACCAGACGACAACTGTTCAGTGATGTCTCCGTGATCGCGAGGGTGAAAACTGGTAGTGATCACCGAATGGTTAGAGACACACTAAACTTAAACAATAAGTTGGAGAGGTCTCGTCTAATGAAGTCAACGCTCCGTCCCCCTCGTGCTCAGTTCCAAAGTCCCGAAACGTTTCACCTCGAATTGCAAAACCGATTTCAGTGCCTAGAAGACTGCAATGAAGTGGACAATACGAATGACAAGCTCGTGGAAACTGTCCATGCGGTCTGAGCTAAGTTCTGCAAAACCCGCCGCAGAAGAACACAAAAACTCTTAATCTCATGGCTGTTAGACGGCAGATAAAGCTACATTCTTCAACAGATTTGACAGCATACAGGCAACTGAACAGACAGATCTCCAAATGCAAGTCTCTGCCAGAGATCTGTCTGCCAAAAAGAGCCAACTGTCAAAGCTGAAGACCGAGTGTGGCAGCATCGTTTCCGGAACACCTGAGATTTTGAGTGAGATTGAGAGGTTCTATGGGCAGCTGTATACGTCATCGTTGGAGCCACACGCAAGTGTGAGTACAGATCCAAGAGCGAGTCTTATCCGACACTATTCCGAAGATATTCCGGACGTCAGTCTGAGCGAAATTAGAATGGCTCTCCAGCACCTTAAAAACGGCCAGTCCCTGGGCGAGGATGGAATTACAGTGGAGCTTTTGAAAGCGGGTGGAAAACCGGTACTCGAAGTCCTTTAGAAGCTCTTTAATTCCGTCCTCCACGGTGGCACTACTTCGGAGGCGTGGAGCAGAAGTGCGGTGGTCTTGTTCTTCAAGAAAGGCGACAACGCTCTCTTGAAGAACTACAAACCGATTTCCCTTCTGTGCCGCGTCTACGTGCTGTTTTAGAGAGTCATTACGAATCGTCTCGCGCGCAGACTTGACGACTTCCAGCCTCCCGAACAAGCCGGTTTCCGAAAAGGCTTTAGTACCATGGACCACATACACACCCTTCCGCAAATTGTACAGAAGGCAGAGGAGTATAATCTGCCACTTTGCCTAGCGTATGTGGACTATGAGAAAGCCTTTGATTCCGTCGAAATTTGGGCGGTGCTGCAGTCCATTCAGCGGTGCCAAGTTGACTGTCGGTATATCGAAGTGCTGAAGTGTTTGTACAGTAGGGCTACGATGGCTATCCAAGTACAGAATCAGAGTACGAAACCTATCCAACTGCAGAGAGGTCTAAGACAGGGTGATGTTATATCCCCGAAACTCTTCACCGCTGCATTGGAAGACGTTTTCAAGCTACTGGATTGGAAAGGATACGGTATTAATATCAATGGCGAGTACATCATTTACCTTCGATTTGCCGACGATATAGTCATTATGGCAGAATCGCTGGAGAACCTAAGCACTATGCTCAATGACCTCAATAGTGTCTCGCAACGGATAGGTCTTAAGATGAACATGGACAAAACAAAAATCATGTTTAACGTCTATGTCACACCTTTGCCGGTAGTTGTTGGGAGCACTAAGCTCAAAGTTGTTGACGAGTATGTTTGGCTGGGACAAATAGTCCGACTAGGTAAGTCCAACTTCGACCAAGAGGTCAATCGACGGATTCAACTCGGCTGGGCAGCGTTCGGGAAACTACGACACATCTTCTCGTTAGACATACCTCAAAACCTTAAAACGAAATTGTACAACCAGTGCGTGTTGACAGTGATGACTTACGGATCTGAGACGTGGTCCTTCACTGCTGGCCGTATGAGGAAGCTCAAGGTCGCTCAGCGAGCTATGGAGAGAGCTATGCTCGGGGTTTCTATGCGTGATAAACTTAGAAATGAAGATATCCGCAGTAGAACCAGAGTAACCGACATAGCCCAACAGATTAGTAAGCTGAAGTGGCAGTGGGCCGGCCATATAGCTCGAAGAACCGACGACCGATGGGGAAGAAAGGTTCTCGAGTGGCAGCCTCGTACCGGTAGGCAAAGTGTAGGGCGACCCCCCACTAGATGGAGTGACGACCTGGTGAGACATGCAGGCGGCTCAGGACCGTGCTTTGTGGCATTCCTTGGGGGAGGCCTATGTTAAGCAGTGGATTTGTGAAGGGCTGTAATGATGATGATGATGATGATGAATTTGAAATGGCCCAACCATTGACAAAAACGTTCGTAGAAAAACATTGCGTTTGCTTTTAATCTTTATAATTTAAAATAATTTACTGTGTTTATGGCCTATTATTCATTTTAAGTAAATATTCGAATTTAAATGAAAATATTCCAACATTCACCGTTAACAGCAACATCGAGCAGACAAAATTAAACTACTAGCGTCTCCTACAAATTGAATCCGAACTAATTCGCTATATATAGCATTAGCATCATATTTAAACTATTATTGTACACGCCCTTAGCTGTCCCGACAAAGGTCGACTATACAGGGGCCCATACATCTGTAGACTCGACGGATAACTAAGGACGGGGCCCAGATGCCTATGGATATTTAATATATATATAGATTAGGAACTGACTGGAATGCGACTTACCTGGTACAGAAGCGAAGAACGACCACTAGGCTCGTACAGGCGTTAAGTGTAGTGAATGTAAGTAGTGTGTGAGAAGTGTATATATGTTTAAACTGAATTAGCCCTTTTTAATCAGCAGCAACCCTGACTCCAGCACCGCCACCCTATGTGGTATCACTCCAGCGGCGTCACTCGATGTCACTCAAAGTCTAGCGTCCATTAGCACAAATCTATTATCTAATACGAACGCTGGTTCTCGCGGGTCACAAAGTTTAGCAGTTTTAAC